GAGGATGATGATTGTATAACTTGTTATTAATAACGAGTAGAAGTTGTATGATGATGATTAGTAGGACTTGTTATTATGATGATGCATGATGCGTGCATGAAGAGTTATTATATATCAGTGGGTGACATGAACATGGATTGGATTGAAGTGAAGGCAACATGTGGTGCATGTCGAAAGTAGTACTAATCCAAACTTGATCAAGTTAGGTTTAGAATTACTTTCGACATGCACCACATGTTGCCTTCACTTCAATCTAAGCCATGTTTAGGCATAGCAGTAGCGTTGGTAAACCAAGCCCGGAGATAAGAGAGGGCACTTCTCTCTATTAGCTAGCTACCTAAATTAACCCCCCAAAACCCCCTAAACCCACCCCCTTTCAAAAAAACAAAAACCTCAGCTTCTGGCAGCTGCTGACGCGTGGATGCCTTTTGGTCCCGCTTGGTGCTACCAACCGGGACCAAAGGTCCTCCTGCCTGGACTTGCCGCAGCGGCCACGTGGAGGCCCATCTGTCCCGGTTGGTATAAGAACCGGGACTAAAGGTCTAGGGCTTTAGTACCGACCCTTGAGTCCCGGTTCCCCAACCGGGACAAATGGGCCTTACGAACCGGGACAAATGGCTCTTTTTCTACCAGTGTTGCTTTCTCCTTCTTGTTTTCATCCGGCTTGCCCTTGTTTCTTCCTTCTCTTGGTGCATCATCACTATCATCATCATCCTCAACCTCCACTTTCATGCCTCTCTTTGGAGGGGATTCCTTGTCCCTCACCCTCTACTTCTCATTATCCCGGAGCCATTTCCAACAATGTTGTAGATTGAATGACCGGCCATTGGAGACCGTGATTTGCTTGTAGTACTCGTTGGCGATGCAATCCTACACATAAACATTAAGAGGATTGTGAGCTCATAATCTTCCTATGCACACGGCTAGGGACTTCAAGATGAAGAAATGCTCACATACTCATCAATAGTGGAGGCACTTGGTGGTGCATTTCGCACTTGCTCCAAGCATCCAGACCAGCGGGAGCAAGCTTTGTTGATGGTGTCAGAACGGCCTTGAAGGCCCTTCAAGCTCCGGCTAGATGGGAATGGCATCGTTTGATGAAATTTGTCTTCGATCCTTTGCCAATAGTTGCCATAATTTTGATCCTTGCCGGTGATGAATTCAAGAGATGCTTTCTCATGCTTTAACTAAGCACACATCCTCCGTCTCCGTGTAGTTGCGGGTCCTCCCGAAACGAGTATCATAGTCGGACTCCAGGATCTCTAGCATCATTATCTTCATTCTCATCGTGCACCTCCGCGTCGACCTCAAGAAAGTGCTCTCAGCCAACATCTTTGTATATCTGTAGGGCACATTTGGGCTACAAAAATCGACGGCCAAAAGCTAAATCAACAGTTTTCAAAGGCCGAAAATGATGACGGGTGCAAAACTAGCAAGAAAAATTGTGTTTAGCCCCCGGCCGTTTCATTGAACACGTTGTGAGCGTGCCCGGCGGCTTGGCCGTCAATGTGGATGTCGGGGACGGCCGGAGGCAGAGGAGCAGACCGATCCCTTGACGCGATCGCCTTCTTCCTCGGAGGCTTCGCCCGCGCGCCGGCGGGGCCTGTCGAGGCGGTCTTCTTCCTCTTGGGCGGGGCGCGTGAAACCGGAGCGGGGGCGACGCTTGGTGCTGCCACACGGAGTGAGCCGCTTTGAACGAGATGCCTTCCTTGCCACTTCCTCTTGAGGGTGGCGGGAGGAGTTGGAGCCGTGGGAGGCCCGGGCGGACGCTGAGTTCGATCCTTGGCACACACACTTCTTTTTGAGGAATTTCTATCAGCTACACCATCACTTTGATGCAATGTATGTGCACGTTTGGCGCAGCGCCGAATAGCATTTTCCCTCTTGCTCTCTCATCTCGTCCAGCCTCCAACAACGATGTCATCATCCAACATCGTGCGAGCCTTCCGGGTGGTGATCAACGACTGGCCTGCCACCGTCTTATCTTTTCCCCTTCAATATAGCTAGTGCATGCACATGCATCTAACTGTATCCAAACCAAACCAAACCTACCCAGCCCAGACCAGGAGATTCGACAACAACAAGAGAAACAAACAGGTGTCGTCTGGGATCCCAACCGCTTTCTTTGCCATGCCAGTCAGTCAGGTGAGCGGCCAAGAGAGTCGTCCCTGTCTCTGGTCGCCTACAGACTACAGTCATTCTACGGAGGGTGGTGTGGGAGCGAAGCTGAAGTCAACTCAACTCAAAGTGTGTGACGGCGATGATGGACGACACGTCGGGCTCTGCTTTGCACGGAAAAGCAGGCCCAGACATGAGACATGGCAAAAGCAGTGCACAGGAAGCAGCAGCAGCAGGGGATTGGCTCGCGGCCGGTCTGCTGCTTTGCACTGCCGCGGCGAGACGGGAGACGGCAAAAGCAAAGCACGGCAGGGGAATGGCTCTTCATGCTTTGAGCTGCAGTGGGTTGAAAGTGTCACTCACGGCAGGGAGCAGCCAGTGAGAATGAAGCTGAAGCCAACTGACTCAAGGTGTGAGTGTCCGGTGATGGATTCGGTAAAGGGTCTGGAGCCGCAACCTTGACGATGACACATCGTGCGTGCAGTGCTACTGCTACCCAATCCACTGGACAAAAGGAGTCAGAGAATTTGTAGCTCAAGCTCAAACTGAGTACAGGAAAGAAGATAGAAACTGTACGCGCGGGGAACGGGATTTGCAGCTGTAGGGAATGCAGCAGCCGACCCACAAGAACCCTTCCAGAACGTTTTTGGAACCTTCCGCGGCCTTTTGGTAATTTCTGGGACCTTATGGAACATTCTCTAGCATCACCATGACAATGCCGGGATCTCTGGAACACTTCTGAAGCTCTTTCTCTCTCCTACTCCTTCCGCTTTACGGCTTCTTTGGATCACAGGATTTGCAAAACAAAGGAATAGGAAAAATGAAGGATTTGACTGCCATGACATAGCCAATCCTATGGATTGCAAATCCAGAGGAACTGGTAACAAAGTGCCTTTGGCTGCATCATAGGAGACGTACAGGAATCCTATACAATAAAGTATTATTATTTCTATTTGTAAGTCTGATATTTTTCAAACTTCCAACGGCTAGTGCAGTCAACTGCCTGAAGTAGCCGTTAGCAGCAAGTGCCTATATAACCTGATGCTACTCTCTACAATGGATAGCTCTTTTCCCTGCCCACAGCATTTGCTGCCTGTGCTCTATTCTTTCATCTTCCCCTTGTTGCCTGTGCTCTATGCTTTCATCTTCCCCTTGCTGAAGAAACCAACAAGGTTAGTGCTTATCTCCTATAGCAAAATCATACTTCCATGCTATTCAATATATCACAATCACATATTTTTTTACTGTTTCATTCAACTCCTTTTCAGCATATTTGGCTCATTTGTTGCTGCACACCATGAATCCAAGCTACCGTCGTAGATCAGAAAGTGACTATGAATTTATTCATTTTGTACTTCCTACTTTAGAAGATGTATCACAATCTTCTTCTAGTAAGAAACCAATGCATACATCAAAACTTTCGGGGGCTTGGCGTGTTCAGGAGATTTTAACGGGGCATGAAAGCTTATGCAAAAGGACTTTCCGCATGGAAGTGGACATTTTTCAAGCACTTGTTGACAAGCTGCGTGAGAAAAAACTCCTTGCTGATTCAAAAGTACTAGCAGTAGAAGAGCAAGTGGCAATATTTTTGCATGCAGTATCCAAAAATGCAACAAATGAAACCCTACAGGATTGGTTTCAGCATAGTGCAGAAACAATAAGCCGGCGATTTGGATTAGTGCTTGATGCGATCACACGGCTCACAAATGTCTATATACGTCCACCTTCCCTCAACCCACATCCAATCTTGAGCAAACCACAATTTTATCCTTTCTTTCAGGTATGAGTATGTACAATTTAGATCAAATATTTTAGTTAATTCAGCGCAAGGTAATAACATAGAGATATCATATTTTGTTTGTGCAGAATTGCATTGGTGCTATAGATGGAACCCATATTCCTATGTTCCTATCACCAGGCCAACAAGAACCATACCGGAACAGGAAGCAAACGCTCTCACAAAATGTCATGGTTGCTTGTGACTTCGACTTAAAATTTGTGCATGTACATGCTGGGTGGGAAGGATCAGCTTCTGATGCAAGAGTTCTACAAGATGCACTAAATCATGGTTTTCATGTACCTCATGGTAAATTTTACCTTGTTGATGCTGGTTATGCAAACACACCCCAATTTCTTGCTCCATACCGTGGTACTAGGTATCATCTAAAAGAACAAGGAGAAGTACGTCAAAGGCCACAAAATTACAAGGAATTGTTCAACCTTCGTCATGCTCAACTTCGGAATCATATAGAGAGAATTATCGGCATACTAAAAATGAGATTTCCTATCCTGAAAGTTGCTGCACATTATTCAGTTGATAAACAAATTGACATATCCGTGGCTTGTTGTGTTCTGCACAATTTCATAAGCCTACACAAAGGAGATATGGAGTGGCCCAAAGATGCTCCCATGGAGATTGACCCGAACCAGATTGTTGATGTGCCAAATGGAGACCACGACTATCATGGTGATATACATGCATTTAATTATTCCAGACAAGCAGGAAATCAAATGCGAGATCATATTGCACAAGGAATGTGGAACCAGTATGTATCACGCAGAGCTTGACATGTATATGTATCGTGAAGATATGATATGCAAGTTGCATTACCATTCATGTGCTTCTGATATTGATATTCTACTTCATTAAGTTAATATTCTCATGTCCTTTTTTCAGAAACATGGTGGGAGTCTGAAACAAAGAACTCATATACTAGGCCTCTCATTGTACCAAAATACAGAGGTCTAGTAAACAAAAGCATACTACTACATGACTAGTTTATCATCTCAATCTACCAAAATATAGAGGTCTAGTAAACAAAAGAGTACTGCTTCACTAAGTTCATTGCTAGAGAAGGGTAGGAAAAACCTCCATGTTTTCCTTAGTTTTCGTTGGTACGAGCAATCTCCCTTTTAATCCAAGCCAACCGTCGTTCATCACTAGAGAAAGACAGGAAAATCTCCCTGTTTTCCCTAGTTTTAAAGATGTCTGATGCCAACAACATATCGCTCAATTGTAGACCATCTAATCCTTCAATCGTTGTGATGCACTTGTGAATGCTAAATGGATCCTCTAGTTTCTTCTCCTCAATGGCTGCAAATCGATTTATTTCTTCCATCTTGAGCCTAAGGTATCTTTCATGGAATCCATCTGCAGAGCTTGTAGGATTTTGCTTCTGTCTTTTTCTACGTCTACTCTCAGGCTTCACGGTGGGTGCTTTTGGGGGTATTGATTGGGTATACATTTGTTCATTCGGTGTTGATGTATGCTGGACAGAATCAAGATTTGCTCCCTCAACCTCTTCTTCCAAAGGAAATTGCAAACCTGGCTCATCTAGAGCTACTGTTGGAGGTGAAGATGATTCATATGTATCATTCGAATGTGTTGGGTGCGATGATGGAGCAGATGCATTTTTTGCCTTGTTAGCATAATAATCCATACCATGACGAGATCTTCCTTCGGCGTAACGACCTATACGTCCAACAAAAAACATATACTTAGCTCAGGAAAATATGACCTAAAACTTGATATCAAATATAAAAAAGCATCATGTAATGTTAAACTAACCATCGTAGAGAGAAGCCAAATCATTAAAGTATGGAAAAGACTTGTCTCGCCATTGGAGGGCCTCCTTACTATTCTTGCGAGCAACAAAACTAGCCCAAACACTTGCTGGTGCTTCTACCATCATTCTATCCTTGTCCCATCCAAACCCACTTTCTGCCAACAATTCTTTCACACTTCGATATTCCTTCTTTATATCTTTCTCCTTTTGTTTGACTTGAACAACACTAAATGATACACAAAATGCTTGATTTAGTCGATTAACAATGTTTGTCCAGGCCTCTTTGCTCCATGCATTTTGTGTTCGAAAACCAGGAACGTCATGCTCTTTCAGCAAGTCAATAAGAAACAACTTCATTTGATGAGTCCACTTAGCCCTCTTCGTCATACCTAAAATTAATGACTCGAATTTAACTACAGTAGACTGCACATTCTTGTATATTATGCAAGTAATTGTCACTAGGAGTAATACCTATATCACGAGGATACTCAACAGCCCCGTGATCATCATCAATATCACCAAGTCCTTGTGATTGTCCACGACTGCGAGCACGATCGGCATCAATAGCACCAAGTCCTTGTGACTGCACACGGCCGCGGGCACGATCAACATCCATGTCAAGAAATCCTTGTGATTGCACACGGCTGCCTGGCAGCTCAAATGAGTTAAGCTGATGGACCATCTGCATTGCAAAAAAACTTATTTTACAAGATTGTACTCAGAAACCCATAGTAATACGCACAAGCATGTATGAGCAGTACACACCAAGGCATAAAAATACAGCACTTCCATCTCTCAATTCCTCACAGTTTCTCTCTTCACGGACATCCGACACGCCAGATCCATCTCTCAATGTCTCAATTCTCTCTTTGCACATAAGACATCACATCAGGCACGCACACACTCAGGCATGGGAAGCACACACCCACGGCGACCCACTCAAGCCGGTCAAGAAATTCACTCGGGCACCACAGTCGTGGGACGCGGTCCTCTGGCAGCGGGAGGACGCCAGCGACATCCGCTTCGCCCCTACCATCAACAGCCCTCGCCGGCCAGGTCGGCCAGGTGACTGCCAACGCCACACCCGATGGCTAGTTCCGGCAAGATCTGCCGCCCCCGCGCCATATCGGGCACCCCCTCCCTCGATCTAGAAATAATTGCAAGGGAAGGAGATGGACGGACTATGTGATGCGGGCTAACCTGGATGGGGCCGGCGCTGATCTCGTCGAACTCGATGAGGAAGGAGGGTCTGAGAGCAAGGTGGTCGGCGTACGGTCGCTGGGTCGTCGCCGCTTCCGTCGGGGGATCTGACCTTGTCGCCGCTTCCGCCAGTCGCGACCTCGTCACCGCTTTCGGTGCCTTTTTTTATTTCCTTCCAGAGCGATCCGAGGTTTTTTTTTCATTTTTTGACAGCAACGCGTGGTGTTTTCACACGAAGCAGCGCGGCTGTTTTGGCGCGAACACTCTCTTTTCGCGCCAGGAATCTTTTCAAGAGGTCCGACCTCAGGCGTAAATTTCTCTGGGTTCAGCGCCTTGGGAAACCAATCCTAAGGAATTTTGAGAACGTAATCCTGTGATCCAAATGCAATCCGTAGGATACAATCCTGAGGTTTACAATCCAGCAAAAATCCTGTGAAAATCCTCCGATCCAAAGAAGGCCTTAAATTATTTGTCACAGAGATGGATGATCTAGAACTAAAATACATATAAATACATCTATACTTGCGACAAGTAATTCGGAATGGAGGGAGTAGCTCTGACAAACAAAGCCTGAGCCAAAAACGTTCAGGGCCAAATTCTTAATCTGCTGCCTGCTAGCACATGAGTGGTAAATACTCCCTTCGTTTCAAATTACTCATCGCAGAAATGGATGTATCTAGAACTAAAATACATCTAGATACATCCATACTTGCGACAAGTCATTCGAAACGGAGGGAGTACTAGCTAGATAGTTTGACCAGATGACTTTGACAACTGACCACTAATAGGTGGACCGGCACCTTGGAAAAAGTTCAAAAATTGAAAAAGTTTGGGGGGAAATCTAATATTAAAAAATAGTCAAAAATTTAAGAAAAGTTCAAGAAACACGCGAAAAAATAGTTGCCAAAAATTAAAGAAAAGTTCATAATTCCTTTTGGAAAAGTCCATGAATTTAGAAAGTTCATCGATTTTGAAAAAGAGATTTTGAGAAATGTTCAGGAATTGGAAATAAAAAGTTCACTGCTTTAAAAAACGCTCATGAATTTGAAATTTTCATCCACTTTAAAAAAAGTCCGCAAATTTGACAAAAAGTTCGTCTATTTTGAATAAAAAATCAGAAACTTGAAAATAAGTTCACTGATTTTGACAAAAAAAATCGTAAATTTTGAAAAAAAATCATTAGTTTTGGAAAAAAATGTCGAATTAGGAAATAGTTAATCAATTGGAAAAAAAATCACCAATTAAAAAAACACAGATTTGGAGAAAAATCATTGATATTGAAAGAAAGTTCACGGATTTTGGTAAAAAAACGTAAAAATGAAAATAAATTGTGGATTTGAAAAAAGTTTCACGCATTAGGAAAAAACCGTGAAAACCATCTAGAAAAAACGAAGGAGCTTCCACAAATAGAGGAAAGAAAAAAGGGATGTAAGGAGTCGCAACGGGAGAGGTGCCATAGTGTGGAGGGCGACTCGGGGGCGACCAACCTCCCCGTCCGCTTCCTCCCCTTATCGATCTATCCTCGCCGCAGCCGGAGACGGGCGCCGGGTCCCTCGCGCGGTCGCCGATGAGGGTGGCGGCGAGGCCCTCGGTCGCGACGCCACTCGGGCTCGGGCCTAGGGTTTGAGGCGGCGGCCTCTGCTGGTGAGGGCGGCGTCGTCCTGGCGGCGGGCGGCGCTCGCTGTAGTTGAGGGCCGCGCCTACTCGGCCGCGCGGGCGGCGAGTGGGCGGTGGATGCGGGCGCCGCGTGGAGGGATCCCCGGCTGCTCTCCTTCGTCGGATCTGAAGACGGCGCCACCGTGCTGCTGCTTCCTCCTCGTCAGTCCGGCCGGATGTGGGGTTGGGAGCTCTAGATCGGAGTAATTTCTTGGCCGGCTGCGGCGGCCACAACGCCGGCGACGCTCTAGGCGTTGTTCCCTTCTTGAAGGCGGCTTCGAGATCCGGCTCCCTCCCCCTCGTCCTCCCCCTGCACCCGGGTGGAAACCCACAACTTTGGTTGGGCGACGGCGGTGCCCGACTCCGTCACCTTCTTGAAGGCGCCGCTTTGGGTCCGCGGGGAGGTGGGACAGCTGCAGCGCGTTCTTGGCGTTCCTGATGGCGGCGGTTCTCTCTTTAGTGATGTCGCTTCGCCATGGCGGTCGGCTGGTCCGACTCTCGCGGTGTTTGTGGTGCCCAACTCTTCGCCGTGTCTTCCTGGGGTGCTCCCGTCCCGTTCAGAGAGGCTGGAGGTGGAGCGGCTTCATCTTGCACGGAGCTTCGGTGGAGATGTCAAGTCATGCCTGACCGACAGGTGCTACGCTTTGTCATGCCTGGTCGGCAGGTGCTACGCACGACAGATTTTTTAAAGACTTCAAGCTGTGTCGGCTGGTGGTACTTGGCAGCATGGTGCTGAAGTGTATCAGTGGCGACCGCGACGTGCTCAGTTGTTTGCGCGCAGGGAGGAGGTGCCGTTGGGCGCCGTGGTGGCGTCGACGATAGCTGGACCGAGCAAGGTTGATGCATCAGTACAGTTCTGAAGATGGAGAAGTGGCAGCTGGCGGCGGCGGCCTCTGAGTGCACGCCGGACCGGTGAGACCCATGCCGGCAGGCGTCCTGGATGGGACCTCAGGTCTTAAATATTAGGTTTGGCTGCAATGTCTGTTTGGTATTAGGCCCAGGCTATCTGCGCCCCTTCATCAACTGGATAGAGTTTGCTTAGACGACGGCTTTAGTCTTACTGTTGTATTACTTTGTAAGGTCTTATGAAAATAATTAATAAAGTGGCCGTATGCATCGCTCAAATGCAGAGGCCAGGGGTCATCTTTTTTTTCTAAAAAAATGATTGGCTAGTGCAGTTTAGATTGAAAGAGGAGGTCACGTGTTCGAATCACCTCACCCTGTGTTCACTAAAAAACCACTTTCCCTTCTAGGAGTATATATATGTACCTACAAATAAAGAGAGGTGTCATTTTTTGTTTGGTCCATCATGCAATTTTATCCATCCACAGATTTGCCATCAATGTTGATAAAATTACTCAATATGCAACCTGTAAGTGAAACAAAACATTTCGCTCAGAAAAATCATTCGTTGCGTTCAGCCCGTGGGTCAGCTCACCTACAAGCAACCTTGCGTGCACCGATGGTGCAGAACGAAGGACAGGGAAGGAGGAGACTAAATCCCTTGGAAAAAATAGTGCATACTCTGACACAGAAAATATGGATTCGACTGCACTCCAAACATAATACTCGCTTCGATTCATATTGCTGATCGCTAAAATGGATGTATCTAGTCGAGTATTTCAAGTTTCTTAAGATGTACTCCCTCTTTTTTTAATATGGCTTCTTCAATATTTTATGTTACTTTTGCTAATGGGTCGTAATTGCCGGATGGCGTCGTTCAAAGGCTGATTCTCAACAAATTTGATGTTTCATTACATATTTATTTAATTTATGTCCATTGTCATGCATGGACTCTTTTGGCAGTCCATACACTAAGCGTAGATGAGATGGGGGTGATGTTGATCATCATCACAAGTCCGTGAAATTAAGGGCCTGTTCTGATCTCCTCCCACTCCACGTTTCACAAAATTCCGGAGCGAAGCAGAGCCGAACGATTTAGCCGCCGGAAGCTAGCTTCGGGAAGCTTTGGGCAATTCCAGTGCAAAAAACTGGAGCGAGGACGGCCCAGCTCCACCAAATCAAAAAGATGAAGTTCGATGATATTACGGTCGATGTGCCACCGCTTAAGAAAACGGTTCGCTCTTTCCCTTGTAAAGAAAACGGTTCGCTCTCCCCTGCACGTAACCTTTCTTCTCTCCCTTGAAATGGGCTGGTTTCAGCCGACCCAAATGCCATCGAATATACCAGATCTTGGTCTAGCTGGGCTGCCAGCCAATGGATCGCTCGAAGAAGCTATCGATCGAGCAGAACGGATTGAGATCGCCAGGCAGAGCCAGAAGCTAGCGCGAGAAGCTGGTTGTGTGAAATTTTATGAAGTTAGAGGAGATCAAAACAGGCCCTAAGTCAGTGCAGACAGAGGCTCGCGAAGTGAAATGCTAGAGTGTGATGACCAAGCTGGCCATCAATTGATCATGTTCTCCGTGAATAGGTTGACTGCTGATGGCAACTAAGAGCGCAAGTGGCAACACGTATGTGGATCGCTAAGGGGGGACAACAATCTCCCTCTCTTGCTCTCTCTTCTCGTCCAGCCAGCAGTATCCAGTTTCCAACCGAGTGCCGTCAGCAGTAACAGCGTCGACCCGTCGCGTGTGCAGTAACAGTGTCATCATCAGGGAACGCTACACCTACGTAATGGTTTTTACGTATCTTATTTACGTATAGTCTGAGTTGGCAGTCTTATATTGGTTAGTAAGAGCAATGCTAGACCCACGTACAGTTACGTGAGGTTTTTACGTAAATGCTGATTTAGACGTAATTAATTGGTTTAGGATTAGTGGCTCGGGTCCACCCTAGTTAAAATCAGGGTGAGGAGAGTATGTATGG